GCTCAACGTGCTTTGTAGTGGAGTTCTAGACGAACCAGTCGAGCAGAGCCCGGTAAAAAAGCTAGCCATATTTGTCTTCCCTGAAAACTGAGGAAAGCCACGAGAACGGAAAATCAACCAGTAGACCCACGAGCATCCGGACTAGGTACTGTACTGTTTATTTAGTGTATGTAGGGACGATACAAAGCCGTTATAGACTGTCTATCGATAGCTTGATGTAGTTACGCTCTCCGTTAGGTTTTTACCTTGGTCCACATCGTCCATCGAACTGGGCCAGTCCAGAGGCGTGGGCTTGTTCGATGGTATCGATTCGTACCCACCAACTGACGGATCATTGGTCTGGAGTGAGGTCCCAGTTCAGATCCCTTATTAGCTACTTCACCCTCCCTTCTCTAAGCCAATCCTTCCCGTCTGACCTTTAGACTACCTCATCTTCCTCATCTTACCACACCATCTCTGATAATTCGTGGCCAGATGCTGAAGCCTCGTGCAACCTACTTCCATGCAGGCTCGTGAAATGGGAACGCTGCGAGCCGTAAGCTGCTTATAGATCGTGATCACGCTTCCTCACCATAGCAGCCGCACACCACCTTCTTTACCATGCTCTCTACATATCATACTGACCCATGCCCATGCGGCACTCCAAATGTACCTGCTTTTATGTTAAGCGTCGATTGGTTCCCGATTCCGTAGAGGGACCACATAAGCAGCCGACCTATTCTCTTTAGATGCAAGTGTGACAGCAACTTTGCAGCTAGTCCTTGATAGTTGATGCAACCGAAAAGCATTGGCATGGTACTGTGGACTGAACTAACTGGTCGGCGGCCGCGGGGCCCATTGAGTCTCCTGCGCCTATCACCAGTTTAAACTTGGAGCACATAGGCTGGATTAATCCAATAGGCGCGAATTGCTATGAATTACCAATGAGGATTTCCAAGTTCGGGAATCTATAGAGGATATATGTGCCTGTCTAGGTATCACCTGGCTGCAGGATGAGGACTAAAGGGGAAAGGTATCTTATCCGTCACAACCATACAATAACGGCCAAGTTGCTATTGTCCTCATGTCTTAGCTACTCTGGGATCTTTGAGAATGCCACGGATCGGTCGGTTTGGATGAATAAGAGATAAGCCTAGTTGCATTATAGCTAAAGGTCATATGAGAGGGCGTTACCATCGTGGCCCAATTCGCAATGAGCGCGAACCCGTAAGAATGAACATCGTTCGGATGAACCTAGGGATGGATGATCATAGTACGACTGCCAATATGACTGGTCAAACTTCCCGACTAATAACCCGTCCTGCTACTGGACTCGAGGCTCTGAATTGGTCTATTCCCTAACCTACATGGTTCCTAGTTAAACCAGGATAGGTAGAGTTACTGCTATGTATGAAGAATATATAAATCTAGAAATGCAGTACGACAAGTCAATGCGATAAGCGTGATGTTATTCAATGCTCTGGTATCCGTCTTAAACTGTCGCGACAAGGACATATATTTAGTAGTCAATAAATCGTAACGGATCTCTTGCGAATAACATAGAACATAGAACAAGGCATTGGTGCGGCTATGCTTTTACTGACCATTAAACTTAAGTCCTCGCCGTCTATCACAGCCTGTTTCCTCGCAATGGCGTCTAGTGTAGTTTTATTTCTACTTTTTGATACACTGGCAGCTGGAGCTTCGTCGAGTCTTTATTGATCGATCATCTTCTAATATTATTTCCTGCATTGCTACTGTAAATTCGATACCAGTAGGTATACACACAATAACACAATGAGCTAACCTAGAGGAAAAGAGCGGCTGCGGGAGACGGGTATATCATCCTTCACCGCTGGTTTCGAAGCCGGGTGATACCAAGACTCTCCATACAGAGCCTTGCATATATACTTTACGTACATGGCTGCATACCTAGGTATTGCACGATGCTAAGATTCGTCTACGGCCGCTCAGCATCCCTGAATATATCCTCTGCCCGAAGTTCGGTATCTCGCCCGTGTCTATGTTAGCAAATATATCATTCCGTATTCTAGAAAGAGAAAAGAAAAAAGAAAAGAGAAAAAAGCCAGTTAAGATCGTATTTGAAGATACGCATCGGGTCTCTGATCGCTTCTGCTGAAATTTGCCATCACCGTTGTCATTGCCACCTCTCCGAGTAACCCGACATCTCGACTTACACGGAAGTAGGGGGGAGGTCTAGCCTAGAGCTATGTATTGGTTCACGAGGAGCCAAGCCAGCGATCGCAAACGCAACTAGGTCCCTAGCCACGAACCAGCAAGACCAGCAAGACCAGCAAGACCAGCAAGACCAGCAAGACCATGTACTCCAGCTTCAATATCTGGGCCTGTGTTACCTTTACCTAGTTACGAATTGTCCAACATATTTTGATTTCACGAGTTCCATTGTTGTCACCCTCGGGAGCGCGATTTTTTTCTACTAAGTCACATCTCAACTTTATACCTTACTTTATATATTTTGCCGTGATCATTCGTCATCCTTCACCGCATTGGCCTGTTTACAGTTGCATCGAACAATTCTTTTTTTTACTGCCCAAGGCTACCTATTTTACCTGATATGTAAGTAGGTACTTACATGTCTCTCATCCGTCATTGTCATCATTATTCAGGTTCTTTTTCTTCCATTACTCCATTACTCCATCACTCCATTACCCGGCTTCCTTTTTATTCTCTCAACTACGTAATTGGCCAATACTACTCCCGCTCTTATTCTATTCGTCTCGTTCGGACGCTGGACGTCCCATGAGAGATTATCTACCTAACGCATCCAAACCAACTTATCTTACTTTACGGATCGCCCTATACCACGATACCTACCTACCTACCTACCTACCTACTTACTTGCATACGACATACTGCACACCACATATTACATTCTACTACGTATGGCGTATGGTAATACATAGGACCTACATTGAGGACTAGTATCACCTAAGATTTCCGACCAACTTGCATAATTGGTGTCTTCGACCCCCCGCAGCATTTCGCTGGGCATTTCCGACGCAGTGTAATTCGGTTCCTGAGTCCCCCTGGTGAATTCCGCGCGAGACACTCGGCGAGAACGACAGGTGACGGACGGAGAGAAACGATACCACATTGGACCTGGTGATTAATTTTTATACCGTTTACCGCCTACCGTTTACACCGTTTCCGCCGTTTCCACCGAGGATTACTACCTACTTACCGTACATCGTTCGGAACTTGTAACTGTCAACTTTGCCGTTGATTCCGTCCCCGTCCATTCCGTTCCATCGTCTCGTCCGTTCTTATTAGTTCAACACACCTACATAGGTACCTAAGGTACCTACCTAGTGTATTTGATATAATAGGTACTCAAGTACCTTTTCCGGGTACCTGTCGGTGCGATTACGGGTACCTTGGTTCAACGCTATTGTGCCACGTTGAAGAAAGTCCCTCGGTCCCCACCGTATTGTACAATACATACGCGATACAATACCTAGGTACCTACATAGGTATCCACTGTTGCAGCGCAGTAGGTAGCCGAGCGGTGCAGTGCAGTGCAGTTATAGTGGAGTTAGTTTACAGGGAGAGCTGGCCTGTCTCCGTTTGCTATTAGCTCAGGTTCTTTTCAACGTACCTATATGCAGGATAGGCTACATAGGTACCTACCTAGACTTAAACTTACGGCATCGTACCCTAAAGAATCAAAGGAGCCCCTCCTGCCTATAGGGACTTACCACCTGAGCAACCAACCTAATTGAAGGTAGAGAGCTACCTACGGGTACATACATCGGTACACAGTTAGGTACTTGTGATACCTACCTAATATTGGTATTGGCAATAGGTACCGTACCCCCAAAGGAATTCCCTTAGATTTCTCCCCTTCTCTTGCCTCTTCAGGCGTGTTTTCCCCTCTAGACCTTCCCCAGTAGCCTAGGCACGCCAACGAAAACACGCTAAAGAGTAACCGGACCTCCCGCTTGTCATCAGGAGGAGGACCAGACGATCCCTCTTCTGGATCCCATCAGGCGAATCCTAAAAAATCCGCCATCGTCCGTCGCATTGTCTCGTCAATCCCCTCCCCTCCCCTTTAACCCATAGAAAGTGGCTAGAGTGGCCAGGAGTGGCTGCACTACTTTTTCTTAGCGGTACCTACATATAGGTAGGTACCATTTTTTTTACCCTTACGATACGATCTACCCGTCAGGTATTCTAAAAAAGAGCCAATTCGTCAAGCCTCAAATAAACGTCCTTGTCACCTTGTCACCTTGTCAATTTGTTACTTTGTCACTTTGTCAACTAAGCCCATACTATTCTAAGAGCCCCCCCCATCTGGCATCCCCCCGTCTATCTATCATCAACATCACCCCTTCCCATACCCCTCCTTCTTACATTCAACTCACACTCTCACTCACTCTCCCTTTCCAAGTTCTCAATCCGCAATTCGCTTTCCGTGACCTCATCAAACCACCATCCACCCAACTGTGTTGACACGCCATTCTTCCACAAGACCGACCGTTCTCCGTTCGCCAAAGTGATGGTCCGTCATTCGAATTACCTAGTCGCAGTCAGTTCTTAATTGAATCTGACTTCTGACTTTTTTTATTTCCATTTTCTCTCCATTTCGTTTCCAGATCCAGGCTCGTGCAACTACAAACGGTCATTGTATTATTTTACCATTTTATTGTCACTGCGACCATTGCGACCATTGCGACCATTACGACCATTACGACCATTACTACCATTGCTATCATTGCTATCATTGCAACTATTACGTTCAATCTATCATTACTTATTCTCCGTCTTACGAGTCCGCGTCTCAAGTCGGAATCCCCATCTACCTTCACCGCAGTCCCGCCTTATATGCAATAATTCTCCACTTTCTCTCGTCACCGTCTTTTCTGGTCGTCCCAGCGACTACCACCAAACAACATATCCACCAAGCTCTACTTCTTTAGGACCGTTGCGACACGCCTCCTTCTTTCACTTCACTTCTTCTACAGTTACAACTCTTCAACATCATGTCGTCTCTCCCACCTGACCCATACAAGATCCTCGGTGTATCCAAAGACGCTCAATTATCAGAGATCCGATCTGCCCACCGGAAGCTGGTGCTGAAATGCCATCCCGACAAAGTCCAAGATCCAAAGCTGAAGGAAGAGAAGCAGAAGGAATTTCAGCAAGTCCAGCAGGCTTACGAACTGCTAAGCAACGAGACCGAACGGTCCAGATACGATGATAAAGTCAGACTCGAAGAGCTGAGAAGAGACAGGGGAATGGCGTCGACCTCAACGTCGTCTCCTCGTACTTCGAAGCGTTCCGAAACCAAATACCACTTTGACGTTCGCGAAGCTGAACCGCGGTCTACAACATTTGCTGGCTCACCCAGCTCCCACAATGTCTATGGCCATACGCCTCCATCCCGCTCCTGGGATGAAGATCTACACGCTAGAAAATTTGATGAGAAGGCTCGTTACGCGAGGAAGACGGCGAGCTATGAGTATGAGAGAGAAAAGCCCTCTAGGAAAGATGACGAGCGTCGGAGACGAAGGGATGATGAAGAATGGAGCCGCGAGAAGGACAAGGCAAAGGAAAGAGAAAGGGAAGAGCGGTTAAAAGAGCACCGAGAGCGTGAAGCGCTAAGGGAAAAAGAGAGGGAGAAGGAGGCAGCTAAGAAGGAGAAAGAACGGCGCAAAGATGATCGAAAGGAGGACAAGAAGCGATCCGATAAGGACCGTCGCAAGGAAACTGAAGACAAGCATCGCCGTCACAAATCTCCCTACATAGAAGTATGCCCAGAAGACCAAGAAGAGGTCATCTATACGACGTCATCTTCTAAGTCGGAGAAGAAGAAGCCCAGTAGTAGTCGGAAGTATGAAGAGGTACCCAGTGCTCCCCAGCCTCGGGAAACAAGTCGTCCACCGCCGCCAACCACCGATCGCGAAAGGAAGAATTCGGAAACTTTGGAGTCTGCGATTCGGTATCTGAGCAGATCCGGTGGAAAGCCACCAACGCTCAACCGGGCGCAGACATATCATCCGGAATTCTCGGTTCGGCATATCGCTCCGATCGCCGTGCCAACGCCGCCGCCGGCTGCTGCTTCGGCGTTTGCACCCCCGCCTATGGCCAATCCTAGGGATGTACCACTGGATGAAGACCCTACGAAGAGGCCTTCGACAAAGCCCCGCCGCATGTCGCATGACACCCCTCGTTCTTCGAAGGAGAAATCCCAGAAGAAAGCGGGGTCGTCTCGAGAGGCAATTATTGTGGATGCCTCTCCAACAACTGCCACTGCCCGAGTAATACCCTCTTTCCAGAAATCTCCTTCTATGCCAATACCCATACAGAGCGATTCTCACCGAATTCCTCTGAGCCGCTCAAATACTGATAATTACTCTCGACCGCCTCCTGCTCCCGGTCTAGAACGTGCATCGACTTGGATGCCAGGTTCTAATTTAGGCCGCGACCGGAGTCGCTCGCGCCATGCTCGCCTCTATTCAGACGAGTCCTCGGAAGATGATCGAGACCGACGGCATCGTCGTGGTCGGCGTACACAGTCCCCGGAGGCCATGCCGACGCAGTCCACCAAGCGATATACGGTAGACTCAAGCAGGAGGGTTATCCCAGTACAAGAATATTTCCCAGAAGAGTCACCCAGGAGCTCGAAGAAGACGTCTTATCCTATGCCTAATAGCTCTGCGCGCCGTACGGAACCTCGACCAGGCTATTATGCGCATGGAAGCTATGAGGATGAGGTGCAGTCGCCATTTCCGAATGTCAAGTATGCGACCACGTTCGAAGCCGAAGACATTAAGTATGCCGATGTTCCTCACTCGACATTCCGGGAAGAGGTGTTCACATAATCGTTCCAAGAAGTTGTAATTGACTTTGAACCCAATCAATGTCTCCAGCTCGGACAAGATTTATCGGTAACAAGCAATCTATCATCGTTTCGATGGATATCAGAATATTGCGGTTTGTCATAATCAAATATTTATGATGAGGCTTTTCTCATCGCCATTCTATCTCATATTTTCCACAGCTCGAGTTCGGCGTTCTTGGTAGCTAGGGCGTTTTTCGATACAGTGCCCGTTAAAGAAACTTCTTGAAATACAGTAACGACTTGATGTCCTTTCAACGGTCTTAAGAAGAAACGAGATGGAGATAAGTTGGGAGAGATTTCGTTTTTGGGGGGGGGGGTCCCATGAAATTTTCCGAGGGATGAGCGTGGGCTTTTGTGGTTCGGCTCGGCTTACAGCTCGACGGGATAGCTCGATAGGTTCCCTCTATGCGAGGCAAGCCAACCTTCTGAGGCTCAATTGTTACCTGAGCACGAGCTTATGGCACAACCTCCCTTGGTCATACATACCGAACTCAGTCAGCCAATCACAAAGCTTCATAACCCATCTCACCTGCCTACCTACTTGACCCCCAATAGCGAACAAGCTTTGCCGTCTCCGCCTCTCCAGGCCTTATGAGTTTTACGAGAGATGTTTATTGGTTTTTTTTTTTGGATCTTCATTCTTTATGATCATTTCCCTACAATCTTACGTTTTATATATATACATAACTTGCATATTAAGGAGCGAGAAACCAGGAAACAGGCTGGTCGGGAGTGGGTTTTTTTTTCCCGTGATGGATCGAAGCATGACGCCGTTGATGTCTTTTATTATTGTTGTTTATGTCGTCCCTTCGTTCATTTACGAGGCGTTATGTAGTCAAGGAATGGTGGTAGCATTCGCGGCAGCTGGGTGGGCAGGACATCGCGATAGTTTGCCGCGCCCAACGGAGGTTACGCATATGAAGATACAGATGTACGCGACGAAACGCTATCGTATGGACAAAAATACATGTTAGCAAGGGCCTATTGCTCTCATCGCCTAGAATACTTGGTGTTATTATGACAAATGACGTGGCCTTGATTACTCTTGTCCTGTCTAATTAAAGAATAGATTGCATAAAATAGTTTGTCTTGTGACTTCAACGTTGACCGAACCATGGGCCACGTATACATAAAGGTTAGGTGCCTTAGGTAGGTAGCTAAGTAATCCGGATTATCTCTAAGCAGTCAGTCCTAGACTACGCCCAGTAAGCGGGATTTGCTTCCATATGATACTACATCGTAGGTTATGTATGATAAGAGCCCGTGTGATTCTTGTCTTCGCAAATAAACACAAAGATGCGATTCCTAAGAGGGTATTATAAATGATAAGATGTTTGTGATATAGTTAGTTAACTATCTGGTGTTAGAACTTAGTTGTCTCTGCTATTATTATTACCTCTAGAAATTATGTAGGCTTAATATTTGAAGAGAATGAAAAATTACCTACCTACTTGGTAAGTAATATACGCAAATATATCTGAGCAAACTATCTCAGCTGTTGTTTCACGTATGTTCTCGTATGATAGTTTGCCCAACTTCAACATAATAGAACTTGATTAGATCACAAGGCATATTTAATCAACATATTTAACATCATTATTTTTGCCTACTCTATGCTTTCATAAGTCGACATAATACCAAGTGCTACAACATATTATTAAACAATAAACCTTAGGTACTTACATGTAGGTATTCAGCTACAAAAGCCCCTCTTTTCCTTCCCTCCTCCGAACACTTTCCTCCTGTAAGATGACTTAGAAGGCCGGACTCCGGGACGAGGGCCGATATCTTCGGAGCTCGGGAATTTCCGGAGGTCTTCAATTCGGAAGATCTCGATGACTTAAGTTTCTCGTTTCTTTCTTATTCTTCCTTCTTCGCTGCGTCTTGTGTTGTTCGCTGCACGGGCGCTTTGATGGCGTCGGATGCCGACTCGGCTCGCACACGTAACGTTGCCTGCATACCTTACACATACGTAGCTGGCTGTTTGCTTTGCCACATGGTTATCTCCGCGAAAGGTTACCGACTAGAGGAGGATAGGAATTGAAACATGGTGGATATCAGCGAAGACGGGGGCGATGATGATGATGATGACGACGACGGAATTAATAGGCGGTATCAATGACTCGTTTCCGGGATTCTCTCCGACTGAATGTACTTAACCTATAATCCCTTTCTTCAAGTAAACAAGAGGCAAATTCAACACCGACTTTTCGTAAACAACTTGGTTATTTGTGAAGCACAGACACGGGAGCAATAGGTCCCCTGATTGTAAAGTGGATATAATAGGTCAGCTGGGCGAGAGTTTTCAGCTTGGATAGGTTGAACGACTATAAGCCAAGAGGTATACATAGAGTCTAGACAATCGCTAGTTATTACAGATCTCGTCGGATGAAAGCCGAAGCCACCTTGCGGAGACGGCGCACGTCCCCAGAATTCCCCATTCCCCATTTGCGGAGGCGGAACGTGATCAACACAAGCTATATATAGGTCCATCGAAAAAATGCGTGGCCGACCTTGGTGCCGTCTACGTGGATGGCTCGTCGTTGGCTGGGCTGTTGGCCTCGCCGCCGCACGTGCCTTGATGATGCAAGAGGGCGGATCTTATAGGATACCAAGCCCCGGGTTCCATACTTGCCTAGGTGTTCGTGTTCCCCTTGAGCTGCTGCTTGACGTAGCCCCGTTCATGTATGATGAAAGATAGTAGGCAGTCGAGGAATTATTGGCTGACAACTTTGACAGGTCTGGAATTCGATAGGACGTCACTAATACAGCCGCAAAAGGGGTCGGCCCCTGGGGGTCTTTCTACTAAGACCAGATTGAGACTCCACACTCCCGGGGTGCCTCTTTGGGACGTATGTATAAGGGACTAGGAAAGGGGGTATTTTAAAGGTATCCATTAGAATAACTATGGAGATTTTCCATGTTGTATACAATGGAGTCCTATGCACGTCTTAGGAAGGGTCTCGGGGTCTTTTCCTAAAGTATTGCTTCTACGGAACGCCGGTATGATTCGTTATTAATCTAAGTATTTACAGGTACTAAATGTAAGAAGGTATGTACGAATAGAAACCGCGTATTTTTTTGTTCCTCTCGTATAATTGGCGGCTGGATACCGAATAGGCAGATATATAACTCACTTAGGAAAAGCAACGGGATTACATTTCTCGACGCTATTCGGGCGAACGGGATCCACAACAGCTAGTAAGTATAGAATATACAATAGAAATACTACTACATATTCTAACTAGTCTCACCGCCAATTGCTCTTTGTAAGCTTCTAGGCCGTCATCCTCAGCAGAGTGGTCTATAAGGTGCCGTGTGAAACACCGCCTATGCATTGGCGAATGGTTTTGACGGGTACGGGTTGTTGAAGTCCTTGAACTGAATTGTAGTTTAGTACGTAGTATAAAGACAAATATCGATCCGTGCGTATTAGTGTATCTAAACCGGAAATAATACGTTAGACTCGTTATGAGATATTCGAGACACCGGATATAGCCCCTATATTGCTGCACCGAACTCGGGACATGATATCTTATATTAGCTTTTAGACCAGTAAAAGAACTTATTTCTAGTCTTTAGACGTTGAGGAACTAAACTAGTTCTATCCTTATACTGTCAGTACCTAAGACGTGATATACTCGAAAGATTGTTGCCATAAAGGAAGCTATATTCACTAACTAAGTGAAAATACAATCTTTCACAAAATACGAATTTCGTCGAGATAACTCAAAATTGTTATTCTATATAGCTCCGCATACATCAAGGCTATCGTTTCTGGCTCGCTAAAGCAAGCCACTCCTGAATCTTCTGCGACGCAAAATGAGGCAAGCCCTTGTACTTGTTTTCATCATACGTGTCCTCAATAGCCTTCACAAGTCGTTTTGCCTTCGAGATGGTAAGTCTTTTCGCATCGAGATAATGCTCTGTTGTCACGAACTGGTCTGCATCATCTGCTAGATCTCGCCGCTTCTTGCGCACGGCGGGGGCATCTGTCTTTTCTGCGGCGCAGAGCGGACAGCTGCATTCGAAGCCCCAGGTTGTCATTAGTGCTGCTTGCCTCGCGTCGTAGTCGCTCGATTCGTCGTAGCTGTGGAAGATTTCCTCACCGGCAGCGATGGGCCGGGTAGCGCGGAGAACCATCAAATCGCCTACATATTCTTTTTTGGCATTGGCGACACATGAGTGGTTGATGTATGCGGCCCAGATCCAGAGACCCGTACTCGCGTTACTAACACCTTCGTCTCCGAATTGGCTGCCCGGACCGAATGCGTTACGAGATACGATGTCGTGAACTCGGAAGGTGTCGACCACGGAACCATCTCCAGCCTTGGGCACATTGCTGCCGTCTCCCTGGTAGTCACCATATAGATCCATTACTTCTTTGATCCGGGATGGATTGCTGAGAAGCTTTTGCACGATAGCTTTGCTTAGACCGACGGGTGACACCCTGATTTTGTCATCCCGCACGTCGTATGTCATGGCTGTCATAGCCTGTTTTTCGTGGCCCCAAACCACGCAGAACGCTTTCTCGCATATGATTATCTCCCCGGAAGGAATATCACGGGTCGCGAACAAGCCACGTCCTCGTCCCTTGCTCTCCTCTACCTTTGTGTTACCAAGGAAACTTGCGGCGTCAACACGTGGACGAGCTCTGGATAGGTTGGCTCTGATCTTTTTGAAATTGTATGCTCCCGTGGTTTGCTCGCGGAAGCGCACCTCAATGTTTTTCAAGTAAGCAGCCGCTGTTTTGTTATCAGGGGTAAGCTTGAGTTGCTCTTCAAAGAAGCCCTTCGCTTCCTCATATTCGCCGAGGTTGTATGCTGCAGAACCAGCCCGGAAATATGCCTTGCTGTCAAGGTCTTTGGATCGCTCATCACCCTTGCCGATAAGAGCAGCCTTTGCATCACTCTTTGCCTCGTCGAGTTGGTTTAGAAGAAGGTTAACATGAGCTCGATTGCGAAAAAGATCACGGGCCAAGTCGGGGTTAGTTTCAGATACAACATTTTGTCTGGCAGCTTTGAGGCCGTCGGTATACTTTGCGTGAGCCAGGGCTAATTTCTGCTGCTCGAGGGCCGCATTGCCCTTGTCTTTGCAAGTCTTAGCAATCTTCTCTGCTTCTGCCGCGTCTTTAGCCTGACCTACTTCATCCCGGCAAACGATTATATCTGAAGGATGGTCAACCCGGATCGTGGGTTCACTCTGGTCGGTAAGAGTAAAGTAAGGTTCCTTTATGATAAAGATGGATGCCGATTCCAGCACCTCTTCGCCATGTCTCGACTTATGCAAGCACAGTTCTAGACGCTCCATATCCTCTTCTCCTTCTTCCTGCACCATGGTCCACGGCCTCGCTATAAGCGGAACCACTGGGCTCGCGCGCTTTACAGTGAGCCGACGGCCACGATGATGGGTTTCTATTTGGAGATCGACCAACTTGATGGGCTCTAGGTCCTGGAGCGGAATGGTACAAGGCGGATATACTTGTCCTACGGGGAGAGCTGGGAATGTGCCTGCTCGACCTTTCGTCTGCGCCAAGTCAGGATCTGGCGCGCCCATATCGGCCATAAGAGATGCGCCAGTCGCTTGTTGTTTGGCGGCTGTCACATCTCTCTTTTCCCGCACACGACCAGCAAGTTCGGCACACTTCTTCAGCCTGTTTTTGGCGATATTTCGTATGCGCCCTGCTTCTTGTTCGGTCATAAAGACCGTGTGTCCATCTTGCTGGGAAGCCATCGCGAAATGCCAGCGTTGTGAATGCGACAACGCCGGACTATCTTTTGCGAGCCCAATCCAACGAAGCCACTAAATTATTTTCAGAATTGTTACCTTTTTCGAAATTGACTTGAGTTATTTTGGATAGTAAAAGTTTTGGCGAATCAAATGCTCGTTTGTTGCTGAATAGGTACCTAGGTAGGTAGGTACCTACTAAGAGGCAATCTAAAATTTGAAAGCCGATACTTGATTTGCCAGCACTTTGCAACTCTATGCGGCTTGTATCGGCCCTTAGTTCGACACTTAGGGGGGTCGGTAACAGAACCTTACTGTATATCTATTAGTTACTACCTCTTTAACAGGTAGTTACTCTTAAGGCAATGCTTAAACTAGAACATTAGCACTTGAATTACTCTCTAGCTAACATATCAACTAATAATGTTCACTTGTTTCTTAAATATTTTACTATTAAACTACCGCTTAAAAAAATAAATCAACGGAATGTAGGTTACACGCTGAGGTATGTTATGCTAAGCCTATTGATAACAAATATGAGAGTAGGGGTATATCCGAAATGACATGCAGAAATCAACTGATGGTATGATGGTATGATGGCATGATGCTAGTAATATGATTTGGGCGGTGTGTTCAAGTGCTTGATTGCTTGTTGTGGTATATTTTATACGACGTATTCCACCTCCTTATTTTTTTTTAACCTTTGGGTTTCTCCCCCCTTTTTATACTTGAATTGCCTACCTGATGATTCTAATCAAACCAGCACGTAGAGTGAGCATATCTATACCTGTTAGTTTGTATTTCTCGTTTCAGAAACTCAAGAGTATAATGTATCACAACTTACCAAGCTCAGGCCCATGATCATACTACACCAGAAAAGCACATTATTCGCTGTCTTGTGGGCGCGCACCCATTTCGTTCGCTGCAGTATGACAATCGGTAACTGCAACATCTGGCAAATAAACCCGTAGCCACGAAGCTTCTTAGTGATGCAGGCCATGACGATTTCGTGACCGATGGCTGAGATTAAGAACGTAATAACTGTCGCGTTGCTACGGCCGATGGTGGGCTTCGATGTTGCGTATACATGGCGCCGTAGGAACGAGTACACCGGCACGTTCCACTCACGGCTAAACTCCATCCAGTCGGTGCTGTTCCACCAGTCGCTATAGAAGTGACGGTCCGCGAACTTGGTGATCTCGGCAAAGGCGCCTAGGATGTACTCAAAGATGACGAGAAACACCAGCAGGAAAGTCAACATAAAGGGGAACAGAAGCCACGAGATGTTCTCGGAGAGGATGAGCAACGTCTCGGCTACAGATGAGCTGTTCTCTAGTCGGACTGTGGATTCTTGCAGCACGGGAAGGATGAACTCTTCCGAAATGATGGTCAACAGGAATATGCAGCCAAAGGTCGCGACTATCTTGGCTATAAGCGATGTCCAGTTGACGGATTCCTTGCGCGGGTATTCGAGTTCGTAGCACAGCGTCGGACAGAGAAGGTAATCGGCGTAGTTCGGCCACGACAGGTTTCGCGGGTATGTCACGTTGCCAATGGGGCTCGTCAACTCGCGAGCCAAGTCCTCGCGTAACTGCGACAGACCCTCATCCTCCTCATCGCTATCAACCTTCATCTCCTTGTGCACTAATTCGCCCATTGGGTTATCAACCGAAGGATAAACATATGCCGGGGCCTTCGAAGCGCTGTGAGGCTCATCGAGAGCGCGCAGTCGCTTTTCCGTTTCCGAAAGATGGCCATTATAGAAGGCATAGGAATGCATTTTCATGAGCAGAACCATGGTATGTAGCAGGAAAAATACCTGGGAAGTCCAAGTCCAATTGAGAATAAAGGGGATAGCGATCCAAAATGCAAGCCACACAACCTGATATATGCTTTGGATGGCCATCCCACCCTTCTTCCACCTCAGTGGTCCCTGGCTACTCCTAAATAGTTTATGTAGAGACAAGCTAACGGCGGTACTGGCAACCATGGAGAAATCGGCGACAGCTAGATGGGACAACTTGACGGCAAAAAGGGTCCAGATCTGGACGCGCAAGGGGTATCCAGTATCCTTATAGTTGCGCAACATGGTGGTGATTCCCATGATAGCCAGGCCAATCCAGAATAGGTTGAAGAAGCCATGAAAGTCGCGATAGTCGGATTCGGGATCGAAGTGAGAGACGCGCGAGGCGAATTCGATGGTTGGGAAGATACGCCGTCGCTGCTCCGCTCGAACTTGTTTCCGTGCACTAGACAGAGCTTTTGTCGATGCGGGAGCATTTTCGGGGATAGGTGTCGAGCGGCCACTGGAATAAGGGAATTCAAGTTAGATTAGGTCGATTTTATACGATAATAATAATAATTATTATAATAAGTAATCACCTTGTCATGCCTGAGCCAGTATCTTCTACGGGCGCCTCGAGGTGTCCATTACTATTCCCATTCCCATTTCCATTAGCATTAGCATTAGCATTAGCAGAAACACCACTATGCTCTTTAACAAGCTCGGCAACCTGGGCATGTTGGGGTTTCCGCGGTCGCGGACGTAGGATATGATCGTGACCACCATTCGTCTCGACATTGGTGGAGGACATTGTGTATATTTCTTCGCGCGACGGCCAAAAGGAAGGCCTCGAGGTTGCAAGGTTTCGGGAGCGGATAATCGATAGGGAGACGGCAACCGGTGCGAGCCCCCTAATAATAAGGTAGCGAAGTATCCAAGGTTATGGCTGCTATTGCAAGAGCGTGACTACATGTAGCTTTGGCGAGTCAGGAGAGAGGTTAGAGGTTGGCGAAGAGAATAGCTAGAGGTAGTTAGTTAATGAGTGTATGTAGGTATGTAGGTATGTAAGGTACCTATGTATGTTAGTATGGTGTGCTTCGTCAACGAATAATTATATATATATTCAAGTAGGTATGTAAGAAAATAGAAACGATGGGAAAATAAATAAATAAATAACATAACATAAAATAACCGCTAAACTACAACGGCGTCATATATTGATCGATCGAATGCCAATGCGATTTTCGCCTTATTCCAAAGGCCTCGAATTGCGACTCGATAGTGGATGACACGCAATCAAAAAAGGGAACAAGTCACTGCCACTCTCCTATTAGAAGAACTCTGCCACTCTGCCACTCTGCCACTCTGCCACTCTGCTACTGTTGTCGTCGAAGAAAAGCGTTCATTTGGGAGGAAACGGGAAACAGAGCAGCTATCGGTACCTGCGCTATAAGCAATCTCTTTAGGGGTTGCTAGGTACATGTACAATACGATACCTCAAGGTGGGTTCTGGCTTTTAAGTATGTACATGTACCTACTGCCTAGGTAGGTACCTACCTAGGCAGCTTCAGGAGGGCCGAGGGGCAGCTGAGAAGGATAGTTTGGCGCCGAGTCCCCTAATCTATATTAGCGTCGTATTACTTACATATGTATGTATGTATTTCGTACATGTTACACATTTGACGTCACGGTCCGGGAGTTTGGTCCCTTTTACCCTTTTAGCTTGCGCGACGTCAGGGTGCAGGTCATTGGATCCAACAGTTTTATTTTTATTTTTATTTAATTTTTTTTTTCAGTGAATAATACATACTCACCCTTCCTATTTCCTTCAAGCTTCAATTTCCTTAGCTTGAAATATTCGGTTCCCGGCACAGACGCAACGGTACCAAATTTAGTTACGGATTGAATACGAAGCAGATGCTCATCAGAGATTACCTTATGTACTAACCTACCTAGGTACCGCATGCAGACATGTACGACTACCTACACTTAAGATATCGGCCATTTATACTGGTGGCCCGGATGGTCGCTCAGAAGATGCGGCTGCCCGAAAAATACCTCCCGCGCTGTGACCCCTGACCGCTCAGCCTCTGCTCGGAACAGCCCCCTTCTTCGTAACTCGGGAATTACAAGCTCGATGATATCTTCAAACGAGCCAGGGTTCACTACGTGCGCCAGGTTGAATCCGTCCACATCTGCTACCTCAGCCCATCTCTCCAGCTCGTCCACAACAGTTTTGGGACTTCCTATGATCTTGGGCCTGTACATAGTAGAATTCAAGCCGTCAGCTAATTATCTCCTATCTCCATCCTGGCTATGTCCATTCTGGGTCAACTTCACTTACATCATGCCTCCTATTGATAGGAATTCTACAATTCGGGCTTTGGTCCATTTTAGCCCCTCGGTACCGGGTACAGTAGTAGACCATCGATTAATCAGAGACCGAATCGCCGGCTTGTCGACGAGGACTAAATCTTCGTCGTCAGAAAACGACGACAGGTCATTTCCTGTCCATCCGCCGAATAACGCAAGCGCGCCTTCGCGGTCCCCATACGAAAGAAGCTCTTCATATTTAGCCTGCGCCTTCTCGTCCGTCTCGTCAACAATAACGGTAACGCCCGTGAACACTTTGATGTGGTTCGGGTCCCTGCCGAATGTCTTGGCTGTGGATCGAAGCGCGTCAACCGATTTTCGCACCAGCTCCGGAAGCTGGCCGCCCATGAACACGGCCTCTGCATGTTTTGCTCCGAATTCTGTTCCGGCTTTGGATGTCCCGGCTTGGAATAGAAGTGGCGTCCGCTGGGGAGACGGCTCTGAAATGTGAGGGCCCGGTACTTGAAAGTATTTGCCCTTATGATTGATCGGGCGCACTCTCCCTGCTACTGCAAACTGACCCTTTTCACGATCCCGAATAACGGCATCGTCTCTCCAACTACTTTCCCAAAGCTTCAACCCAAAACTAGTAAGTGGCTGGATTCTTCAAAGCGTTAACGAATTGGGTTCTTACCTTGTAGACTACGTCCATATACTCCTCTGCAATTCGGTACCTCTCATCGTGTTCGATCTGCGTCTCTAGTCCAAAGTTTCTGGCCGCACTTTCGAGATACGAGGTCACAATGTTCCATGCTACCCGCCCTTCAGCCAGGTGGTCAACTGTCGAGAATCGCCGAGCCATGGCATATGGCGCATCGTAAGTAGTTGAGGCAGTGACACCAAAAATCAGATTCTTCGTCGCGGCCGCCATGGCCGGCACGGCATACAGCGGGTCGTTGACTGGGTACTGTGCGCCTGAGGCAAGTACCGGATCTACGTTAGCTGGGCCCCTATAGACGTCGTACGGGCCTAGAGTGTCCGCGATAAACATGGCGTGGAAGTCGCCCTTGTCTAGGAGCTGCGCAAGCGACGTCCAGAAGCTGAGCTTATTGTAGTCGTCTGTATGATTCCGAGGGTGCTTCCATAGCCCTGGAGATAGATGCCCGGGCGTCATCATCACAAAGGCATTTAGGAGCAGCTGTTTCTTGGACTTCTGCGCCTCGTCTCCGGTCTCGTTGGATGGCGCCATTCTCTACTTTCAATCCTATATCTGAGTGATAAAATACTGAGAAGAATTTTTCGTATCGTATAGTTAACCTCTGGTAGAGTAGACACCTCCGAGCCACAGAACCATGCGGTGATTATTAAGAATCAACGTAAAATATGAATTCAGCCAGGAGACTATTATTTTATTTATACACGAGAGACACTTATCTGTTTTTCTTTTCCGGGCGATGGACGCTGAAGATGATTGTTAGCCTGCTAGGTTAGAAATATATAGATAAATACAGAGGTGACTGTCAAGAACGTCATTGGCCTACCCCGATTCTTCCATCATGCTCCGCGCGGATTGCGTGATGCGAGTTCGGTGTGCCCGCCAGTGTGACCCTCTTACGAAATACCAAGTATAGTAGAGTGTATAGTGTACACTAGTAGACATTGATTTATGTAGTTGATATGGTTGTAATTGTGTCATTAGTTTTGTCTCTTTTGAGGTTGGGTCAAATCGGCCAGCCGTGACGACATCAAAGAGCATATTCCGATTCTAGAACCGATTCTATTCTAGAAAGAACACATGATGTGTTATACTTAAGCATACTTCAATACTGATTTTTATTGGTATATCCAGACGTGGAAGACAACCGCATTTATATCCTGTTTTAGAATTGAGAAGTGAAAGTAGGATGCTAAGATGATACCCTAACAAAATAGCAACAGAAACAGAAAGCGGATTTAATGGTGATTCAGATGGAAAAAGGGGTTGACACCGCTAATGAAGTCTGTAGCCATCTAAATGCTGATATACATGGCTAACCTAGGTACTTTGTCCTGACCAACCCCTTTTTTTCAACTTTCATGTATTAATGTTAAAATCTAGACCTCGAGCGCCTCACCTCACCCTTCCGTGTATCGATTCAAGGAGAATAAGACAATAAATAAACCTCCGTCTGCATCAGACAAGAACCGTGATATATATTCCTCATTTAAGAGTCTATATGATTAGGTAGTTTTTAAGATTCAAGATTCTGAATGATGGCAATATTATTAAGTAGGGGACACTTGGACCGAACTTCAACAAGCACGGACAGTCCTATAGTTATACGACTAGTACTATGCGTTCCTGAATTTCGGAATTTGTTTATTATAACCTAATACATCTAAAGAATCGCAAGTACGAAGATCGGGAAGCGCACTCTGCGTTCCGTCGGAATCAATGCTGAAAGGGTTGTGAGTGAATATATATGCCTGAAGCCGAAACACTTCGGGTCGGGAGGAGATTACCCCAGGTCTATGACCCGGCCTGTGAGACAGAAGAATCGTGTCATACGATATTAGAAGAGATAGTTAAATGCTGGGGGGTTTATCGTCGTCCATATAGTGATGATTAACATCTGAATCACTTGACGGCATGCTAGACTAATCATGTATCACTACCGAGAAGTCCTATCCTCGACCAAGGTTGATGTACGCGCGGTCGACAAACGTGTCCTCCTCCTGTTTTATACGAGATCTACCATAAGCGCTTTTTAAAGCACTAAACTAGGTTGCTTGACAAGTGTGAGGGAGATAGATGGGTATACATCTGGTCACGTTTCCGCAGCCCCTTACTCCAGGTATCTAACATGCTTAGGTATGCAATAGTCTATTTTCTATACATCCTTTCGCAGCTCTAGACCACCACCTCGATTCCGTGAAAGTTTCGGTAGATGGCGATATACTTGCTCGTTTACGATCAAATCCTCTTTGGAGTTTTCCGGGTATATTCCACCATTCTCTTGTGCTCGTGATATTTTGGTAGCTTATTCGTTTGGTCCAGTTATTTTACAACTTTTATGCAACGTTGTTGTCCAATGGCCACGTCCATGGGTCGGTGGCTGCAGCCACACGAATATCCTTGAGAAACAACGACATTCACGTCTGTCTCACATAAGACGTTGTAAGAAACAAGAAGGATACGTAGAGATGCTCTGCTCACTTATTATAAAGCCCGTTTAGAAGCGGCTGCCCTCTAGCATCCCGTGGGGTGTTCAGAACACCTAGTTTTCATCACCAAAGCCGGAGTTTTGGATATCAGCCATCAGGAAGATGGGTATCATCATGGCGGGGGCAGGCTGGCAGACTGGGTATGAGAGAGGAGTAAGGATCGATAAGGTCCACATTTCATAGCAAGACATCCTGCCAGAAAACCCCGGGTGTGAGACATGTTCATGCAAGACGACGTCCAGCCCGAACACGACCAATTCCAGATCGTAGTGTACGACGAGAGACGCCTCATTCCTTGGCGGAACGGCGACCATGGAGGTTATGATTCGCCGACGCCTCGCCCGTGTCTCGCCTACCCGCTCTCGGAACGAAAGACTCCTATTACGGGAGCACAGTGTCTGCACGCCTCGTGATGGGATAGGCGATGGGACTGTTGCCGAAGTTAACGATATGGGGAAACATAGATCAAATATAAGACGAATAGAAAGTTCTTGCGATCGTCTAGGGATGTAGGACTTCGGGAAGCTAGGAAGTCAAAATCGCCGGCTAGATGCCGAGGATGTAATACGAAAGGTTTGCCTACTCGCCTTTAAGTGAGGGATCCTGCTGCCCTTTTCTTCGCTTGTCTTGAGGAGATGGACAGATTTACACGTTGTAGGACTGCATCCGTATCAGCCACAGGATCTACTACTATATCGGATCTTGCACCACGCATCTGGAGACGACAGAAGGCATGCGGGTCGCGATAATAGGCGCAGGTCCCGCTGGACTCGTGACGCTGAAGCATCTTCTAGCTGCAGAGAGCGCCCTAGGAGTAGAACCCGTCGAAGCTCGCCTCTTTGAGAGCGAATCCGGGGTAGGAGGCACATTTCTAGCAAGGACTTATGAGGACGCTGAAGTAGGGGCGGGTCGCTTTATCGTTTATCTTGAGTCGTTCTTGGGTGAGAAGTTCACTACAGTTTACTGACGCTTGGTTGTTAGTTAGTATCCTCGAGACAGCTCACTAGTTTCTCTGACTTCCGATGTAAGGATGACGAGCCGGATTTCGTCAGTGCGGAACGCTATATTGAGTATCTCAATGATTATTGTACACATTTCAACTTATGGCCACATATTACCCTCTCGTGTACGGTGAAGAGCGTAAAAGGCCGGAAAGAAGGCGGCCACTTTGTGACATACTTGCTAAGAGGACAGCAGTACAGTTGGGGATGCGACGCAGTGGCTGTGTGTTCCGGACTTCATGTTGAGCCTAGCATCCCTAAAGTCGAAGGCATCGAGAGAGTACCGGTTGTTTTTCACTCGTCACAACTAAAGAGAAAAGATCAGTTCGGCATTGGGAAGACTGTGCTCATACTAGGTAGTGGCGAGACTGGAGCGGACGTCTCATTCCTTGCAGTCACTTCACCAACGAAGCGAGTAGTGATGTGTCATAGGGACGGTTTCCATTTCGCACCAAAGGTAGGACAATCACAACAAATGCATATGCGGACAACGCAACTAAGGCTCATAAACCGTGTAGAGAAACCCAAATCCCAGATTGATATTTTCCAGGCGGCGAAGTCCCCTAGATCGTCCTCAAGTACCAATCGATGTCTCCCGGGCGAGCCTTTTTGATACGGCATACGTGCACCCCTGGCTGAGGAATAGCAATGCTCTATGGAAGTATTATGACTGTTATGTGAGGTTCATTCTCTGGACTTCGTGGGGCACTATCGACGGAATAGATCAATGGATTGGGGGGAAGCCTAAGGGATGGACAACTTCAGAGAGTAGGTCTTCTTTCTACTATTTCCAACTACACTTGTAGGTAAACTCCTCATAGACTGGTACTGATATATGCAAAGTCTTCTTCAACAAATCGGGTTATAAACTTAGCCCTTACTTTAATGCCGTCTGGAAACCCAAGGCACCAAAGGGAATCCCGGAGCGCGTCCGCTCGTGGATAGTCCGAACGCCAAACACAGAAGAAATCTGCCACGGCCGGCAAGTTGACTTGGCCCCTTGGCCGGAGCGGATTGACGAGGCCGGCACCGTCACCTTCAGGGACAACAAGAGGCCAGAGTACGCATACATGAAGGACCAGAACATTAAGCCGGATGTAGTCATCTTCTGTACGGGGTACACACATCAATACCCCTTTTTAGGAGATAATCGACGCGACCCGAGATACTATGAAGGTAAATTAGTTCGGCAGATATGGCCTCGGGAAGACCCTTCCTTAGGCTTCATCGGCTTCGTGCGGCCCAACCTAGGCGCAATTCCGCCACTCGCCGAGTTCCAGGCCCAGCTGTGGGTGCTCAACCTACTTGCGCCAGGACGAGTGGCGAGTTCACTACTCCCTAACGACGAGCTACACTATCAGCTCGTGCGCAAGGAGCATGCAAGGATCCGCTACGGTGTTGACCATGAGAGCTATGCATACCAACTTGCATTAGACATGGGCTCTGCACCGTCGTTCGGGGACGTCCTGCGTCTTGGCTTCTCTAGTGGTAATGGTGGCTGGTATAAGCTGCCACTTACGTGGGCGCTTAGCGCCAACTTCAACACGAAGTTCAGGCTCATCGGGCCATGGAAATGGGACGGCGCGCTCGACATCATGAATACTGAGTTGTGGGATACGGTAGCTAGAAGGCAGATATTTTTCGGCCACTTTACACTTTCCTTCGTCCCGATGCTCATTTTTGGACCAACAAGTCTTGTGATATTTCTCTACGCTTCCTTATGTCATGTTTTTCAATATCTGCTTCAAATGTTAAAGGTGAATATATGGAAGTATAGCAATGACGAAAATAGGGGAAAGGGGGCTTATTAGAACCGCACCGTCTGAATTAAAATTTCCCCTTTGTCTTTCCCTTTGGCTTTCCCTTTCGCAATAGAAGCAGGCTTAATTAACCCTTTTGTATTTCAAGTGTTCTTCACAAATCTAAAACTACATTGAAGTAAAAAGAAAGAATATTAGGCTATTCACCCTGATCTAGATACACAGATGCATGAAAAAATAAAACTTTGACCCCGACCCGATTTGAACGGATAACCTTTCGATCTGGAGTCGAACGCGCTACCGTTGCGCCACGAGGCCCATGTGTTAGGGTTACTGTGAATTTGGTTCGGCGTTAAAGGTATATAAGCGCATGCTTTTTTTGCATCATCCCCACCGGAAGAGTGAAGGGAATAATATTTAACAAATGACTAAATATAGGTAAACATTTGCATCGAGCTTGTGAAGGCCGCGGATATTGATAATCCCCAAGTATCCTCAAACATAACTCAGTCATGTGTGGTTTTTATAACAAAGAACACAATTGTCATACTCAAAACAATACACCTCACGACTTATTTCAAGTAATTCTATTCGCACCACTACCCCTATATTAAGAGACATGAAATATAAAAAAGAAAACAGACCCCATATCGAAAATCCTAACCCGTATTCATAACTCGTGATATCCTTGGAGGAAACAGAAGCCAATCCTCCCATATATAAAACCGTTGCTTTTTCTCCTGTCCCATGCAAGCACAGCACATACACCCATAATTGTTATCTCGACATAAAGGGAAAATCACGTCTAAAAACGGAGGACGCGTGGCTTCAACTATCCTCCTGGTAGCGTCCCACCATCGTCCCTTAAGTCGACGATGTCCGGGAAACTATACGGTTTGTCTGATGAGAAGACCTTGTTGAAATGCGCCGCAAACGAGTCATCCAAGAATGGAGGGGCAGGTAGCTGATCCGTACCGACAGTGGAGAAGTCGGTAGAATGCGTGTCGTCGTCGTCGTCTATGGTTGTTAGTGTCGATGATGGAAACCCCTGCGATTCAGATGTCCAGGCGGTAGTGTCAGAATAGTCACAGGTTAGAGGCGGCATCTCGGATAATACGTTCTCTACTGGCTTATCTTGCGCATGTTCTCGACGAAAGCGCTTGACGAGGTCGAGGCAGCCGTTGATTTCAGACGCGTTCCGGCGATCATTATCTGCTAGATGATGGAGGAAAGCCTCGAATTTGGCAAGTGTGTCAGTGCCGTCTTGATCATCTCCTATTCCAGATTCCTTTTCAATCGCGTCGCAGTCTAATAAAAGGTAGGTAGCTATGTTAGCATCCTCTACTTAAGGTAGGTTATGAAACCAAATTTTGAGTCACTTACAAGGTGATGGGACCTCGGAAGTCGGATCTAGTTTGAATATGATCCTATATATTTTCTTCCACTTCTCCTCCTCTGATATCCCACGCTGTTTCCTCCGGATCTCGCCTTTCTGTGTCTCATCAATAGTGTCGATACAGTTATGAGAATCTCGTATTAGACAAGGTGTCTCCGAACGACGGTGTTGTTGGAGATCGTACATATTTTCAAACTCGTCCAAGCAACGATCGCACCGATGGCGGGCGGAACAGTGGTTGCGGTATATATGCTCTCTATGTTGTCCCGTTAGCCATTATTACACCATGCGGTTTTCCTGCATTTGGTAGCTAAAACTAACTTCAATCTATTTATCGTTCGACCTTCGGGTATGGTGCACGCTTTCCAAGCTTTCGTGTTATATTTCCCTGGATTTCGTTTGTAGAATGGACAGGCGAATAGCTTCCCTTCTACATCAGGTCCCGACCGTTCTACGACTTCATAGCCGCTTGCTTGAAATAGGTTATGCTCCAGAATATCTGGTGGTTTATCCTTGGAAATATTCTGCGTTAGTGTACCCCCTTTTTTACGCACTTTTTTCTTTTTCGGCTCGTGGCTCATGTTGTCGTGGCCGGTCATATCGTCGGAGACTCGTCTCCGGCTTTTTAGATCCCCGAGAATACTTTGAGTAGGAGAAGTCTGCTCCTTAGGGAGGATGTGTCGATGAGGTAGTACGCCGAACTGACGGCCACCCGATACACCCTCTGTAGGCATCATATCGTTTGGAGAAAAATTGAACAATGCAACATCATCATCTCCGCCACAAGATTCACCGAAGTTGGTCCAAAAATTACCTTGGCTTGGTAGTTGGTCCATCTTGAAAATGGTTGGTTGGGTTTTGCTTTTCAATACTGAAGAGTTGTTTTGGTGAAGGCTTGTGAGCTTTCGGGTTGGCCACGGCGGTTTGCGAGGCCGCGGAATAGCTACCGTGTACGTTGGGTCCTCTAAACATCTCTGTCGAAGACATTGAAGTTTCTCCACCACTCGCGAGATGCTGGCTCTTGTTTCCCTGTCAGTATCGAGCAGGTCATTTCGTGTGAGATTCACCAAGTCTGTAATATAAGGACTTGCTGCCTTTGCCGCGATGAGATTATTGACCCACTGTGCTGTTAGTAGAAAACCTCATATATCCGAGACTGAAGGACTTACTAGAACAACGTTGGTTTTGAGCTGTGCATCTGGTGGACCTCCTTGTCTTGAGACAATCCTAAAGAACCCGTCGTCTCTATCCCTCGCTTTATCGGTTCGTTGGTCTACGTCGACTCGAGAGAGCGCGAAAGACTTGACCCCTTCCCACCCGCAAAGCATCCAAGTGAGAATCTCAAGGAGGACGCATCCAAGGGACCAAACATCGTAGGCGCTGTCAATTGTCCCTTTTATGTCAAGTTCCGGGGCCCTATAAGTGGGCGAGAATCCGATAGGGTGGTCACCTCTGTTTCTTTCCATCTGGCGGTTTAGTATACCAAGACCAAAGTCACCGAGCGTCCAAACGAGATTTTTACTACGAATATTCTTTTGGAATAGAAGAATATTCGCAGGCTTTATATCTCCATGTCGCCCGTAGTGCGATGAACCTGCCTTGAGTGTAGAATGGCCATGATGGATTTGACACAGGGCAGTGACAATTCCAAGACATTGTTCTGAGACCCATCTTGAGAGAGACGCATCTAGGATTGGGTTTGGGTTATCTTTCCAGAAAGAGTACAAACTTCCCCCTTCAGCCCATGGGAAGAGCAGGTAGAACGAACTTTCGTGCCGGAACGCTGCTAGAAGTTTAACAACGTGTGGGTGTGGGGAGATCACGAATGGCCTTAGAGCGGCTACTTCGCGCTGAAAGTCTTCAATTTGTTGGGAGCGTAGTTTTTTCAGAGCGAAGTATGTATTGTCCTAGGAAGTATTTAGCAGCTAGATCCCGCATCTATAAGCTAACTTCTGGTACGTACCCGATTGTCCCCAAAATCGCGATGTCGATGATGGATTTTGACTTTTCGAACAGTACTGTAGCCACCGATTTTGATGGAGGACGTGGCTGCGGCGTCATCGTCGAAAATGGGGAGGATAGTTTGCGCGGAGAAATCGTAGAGAGAGACATCTGCTGTTGGTGCGCTGAGAAATGGGGACAGGACTACCCATTGAGTCTTTATAAAGGCGTCGATACTAGACATTTTCCACTTGTCGAAACACCGTGTGACTAGTAATACTAGTGATGAGTGGTGATATCGGGATGCTTTTTCATTCTGGAAGTGAGCATGGCCGATTGGGAGCAAGGAATCCGTAAATCCGCAGACAATAAATAATGGGATCGTTTCAACTTTGCCAATGAGAACCAGGGTTATAAACGTTTTTAGAAGTCGAGCCTCTGGTACTTGTAACTCCAGGCTTGACTCCCGGGAGTCTTTTTCCTGACCAGCAACATCGTCGATGGTGATACCCAAAATCTGAGCGGTATAGTTGTGGAGGACAGATTCGGGGAGTGTTGGCATAGCTCGATTGAGCTCTTCCTTTACTAGTGGTGGCGTTATAGTATCGATCTGATTTGATGGTAGAAAGGATCTTGATTTAGAGTCAAGACTTCTACACATTGACATGGTGAGTCGGGTGGAGAGAAGAGGGGAGGGAACATGCTGTTCATCGTTGATATAGGTCTGTTCTGCTTGATTTGTCCTGGAGTTTGTAGCACTCCGCTGTGGCGGGCGTTTAGACCATGGACGGCTTTCCAAGTCATTGCACTGTGTGCCGCCCCTATCGTGATCGTATTCTTTATCCATGACAATCGTGATTGCAGTCGCAGTAGTTCCACGTATAGACTGCCATAAGGTTCCCATGAACCAACTGACAAATCATTTAGGACTTCTCAGTTCTGATATGAGATTGTTGAGATCGGTTAGGGTTCTTGTGAGATTTGGGAACCAAAGAGGCAATAGGCTTTATTGAAATAAAAGAGAAAATGAGTGACTAAAGGTTAGGTTAGTAATGGGGTTGATTGATGAGTTTCAAAGTAAGAACAAGTAGACAAGGGTTACAATGTTATACATATATATATATATATTCATGAGTTGTCGCATGAGGCTGCAGATGCATACATCGCTGCGTTATTGCGCATCGGCGCAATCCGTAAAGCTCCAGGTTTGCCCGTATTAGACGCTCTGATTCGCCCAACTCTCCCTGCCCCCCTCAGTCTTTCCAACAAGGAACTCCTCTGACTGGGCAAACAGATAGGACGGTATCTCACAGATGCAAAGAGAATCGAAATGTGTCGTGCGCGAGTTCAAATTGACAGCTTCACAAAATAGTTAAAGAGGTATTATATCGAAGTTGGTGTTGAATATGTGCAATGTTTTTTTATTCTGTATTCTGTATTCTGTAGATATATACAGACTGCTAGCAAGCAGACGATTCTAACCAGGCTCAAGATTTGTCTTATCCCTAATAGGAGCAAATCGAGACTCGCAGCGCCATGCAGTTTGTTACCTATCCGTAACACCGGCGCTACCCAAAAGCAAATCCCTATAAGAACGAATATGTCTATACATATACACAGCCACCCATCTCCATGATAGGCTCCTAGATGTCGCGACTTAGTGGTGGTGTATTGTCCCCTGGTGTTCCAGGAACTAATGCAATATGCCTTTTTGCCCTCTAACGAAATCCTTGGGTATCGATTCCAAAGCTTTCTGCCATCTGATGTGCGCGACGTCTGCTTGAGCAATGTCGCCTGCTTCCCTATACCAATGCTCCAATCGCTCCAATTCGCCGAGAAGGTATCCCATGTCGGGATCCCATTGACCCTCCATCACCGAGGCAATCTGTTCAAGGTAGTGTACCGATAGTTGGTGGTTTGATTCCTTAGAAATTGGATCCTTCTTCAGTAAAAACTGATTTCTGTGGTAGTGGGCTAGCGAAGTTAGTGCGATGTATACGAAAAATTCGGTGTTATATGCAATGCCCTTCGTGTTCTCAAGGACAGTGTTAGCAAGCTCGAAAACGCGATCGCCTTGCCACAACGTCTGGTTTCCTAGAATGAGTAGTTCGGTTGCCTGAAAAACGGTCAATTCCTCTATCGCCGTTGGCATGGGCCCTTGGACTAGCCGTTGAAAGTCGCAGCGGCTCTGAAGCCGGCGATAGGGTTGGGACTGGTATTGGTAAGCTCGTGGGATGAACAATATAGGATAAAGCCTTGGTAGCGTATCCGCCGGGAGGCCAGAATGATGTTCTTCGACTAGAAGGAGCTTTTCGGTACACTCGAAAATAAAGTCCCAGAATTCCTCATACTCATGAGTGCTAAGATATTTCCACATTCCCTGAAAGAGTCGCACCATAGGCCCATCGAGTCGAACGGCAGACGCGTATGCAGAAAGGTATCGCCAAATTTCCTTGACAACCCCTTTATTCGAGGCATCAAGCACAGTGATTAACAAATGCAGCAATCCATATATCGATGGCTTTTTAAAAACTAAGTGCAAAGACTTGAAACCTTGCTCGCACATTGCGCCACCCCGTTCATACTGCCCAACAGAGAATAGCCAGTCCGCATTGGTAATATCTGTGATGGCACAGCGTAACTCGTCTCCACGGTAATGGGCTGCGCAAGCAACTAATGGAGTATCAGGCGGGCAGTACCAATTCCAGGCCAAATCTCTCGCGCATTGCAAGACGAGTTCCTGAAGCGATAGATTACCTGGGGCATGTAAGGCCTTGGGGCTTTCGGGAGGTGGTGTAAGGCAGCGCAAGTTCTCGGGGAGGTTCTCGGCCAGACCGGGTTCTACGAGATCGTATTGCGAGATGCCTTTCCTCTTGAGGTAAGCATCGATAGCCACCTCCTTTCCGTTGCGATGAAAGGCTGTGCGTTTGCCGACAGCATTTCGTTGACGTTGGACCTGTAACATCGCGATAACGTCCTTCTTGCTGTTATTTTTACTAAAACCCCACTTGTCGAAGCGCGATTTGTACATTCTGACACTGCCAAGCCATCGTTAACCAACGGGGTATACAAGAGGTGATGGAAACTAAAACTTGACGACTCACGTTGCCCGAAACCCCTTTTGACGCATTATCGCCATGACTTCCTTCAGTGGCCTGTTCTCTTCTAAATACAGTCGCCGTATTTCAGCTTTATGGGATTCCCATACCTGGGCCGAATGCTGCTGCGAAGGATGAGCCTCTCCGGTCTGCGAGGAGAAGACAGTCTGCATATGTATTGCCGTTGGCTTGACAGGCTCGACATCATAACTCGAGACGCTACTTGAATCAACAGGGCTAGAATCGCTTGCGGGAGGAGACAGCTCTGGCGAAAGGGTTTGCATGACTGAAGTCGAACCAGGGCTGCGGTAAGGAAGCATCATATTGACAATGGGGTTGGTCAAGTAGCTGTTAACCGTGAATGTGAAGTCGCCATGCATCTTGGCTTTTATATATCCTACCGAAGGCAAAATTCCTTTTAGCTGGTGGTTGTGATACGGATAAATCCTCGGTCTGCTTTGCCGCACAAAAAGAAAACAGAGGAAAGATCGTCTAAGTCTACGCGAGACGATCTCAAGTAGTTTGATAATAATATAGCATAATTGTCTTAACAATATTCTTCTTGTTATTCTTGTCGTTATTCTTGTTGTTGAAGCGAGGGAATAGCCCGGCTACCGAGTGGACAGTAGAGAATACGATAGAAAGGTTATCAGCCCTACATGTAAGTAACATAAGGCTAAGGGGGGTTTGATATTGAGTGGGGATCATTTGAATATTAAATATTTAATAGGTAATCACAAGAGTTGCATAGGTAGAGAGACGCAGGAGGGAGATCAAATGGCTTGCATTGACGTAGTAGCGGTACCGTAGTAATAATCACGAACCCGGTTAAGTGGTTTTGGGCTGGCGTGGTGTGTTTATGTAGAGGAAGAAGCCGGTGATCAGCTTCTTAGAGTATAAATCAGTGGAGTGACGTTGCCTCGCATGCTCTTTTCGTCTTAAACGCTCGACCCTAGCGTGAGCGCGTTTCGACCTCTGCCGGCAATAGGAATGAGATAAGGCGACGGCCATGGCTATGGGTATCTATGGGTATACCGAGGCCGAGCGAAAAAGGGGAAAATGGAAAGGTGGTAGGCGAGGGGAGAATGGTAAGGAATAAGCTGGGATTCAACTGAGCAGGATGTATCCCCAAGTGTGGAGCCTCTACATAGTAGGTAGTTACATGTACCTAGTAAAAAGAGAAAGGGTCGGAGGGGTTGTGTCGGAGTGTCGGGGTGTTGTCGTGCGTGCGTATGTACGTGCGAGCTATCCTTGCTACTAAAATAATTCCAATACGCACTCTGCCCTGTTATGGCCCTTGCTTACCTCTTAGCAACTTCGTTTTGGTTAGCTACTCGGCCGTTCGGTCTAGTCTTCCTAATTCCCTCTCCACTTCGACCCGCCACTTTCACCTTTAGCGCTGGTTTGACTGGGCTTGGGCTTGATCATTTTGTATACTTTGTTTACCGCGGATCGCAGATCCATAGTGTAAGGTATGTATACCTAGTTCCCAAGCCGCTCCCGCCCGCTTTCTATAAGCTTAATCAATAGACTGCCGGCCGTATTTAGACCAATCATGGATCAACGTCCGATATGTACATATATATGTAACATAGTATGAACAAGTTGCATGCCTGCCTAGGCACTGCACTGCACTGCACTGCACTGCTTCGCAGAGGGAGGTCTACAACTCGTAGACCTATCCCCCGTAGTAGGTAAGGCTGCGGCTGTCAGCTTCCCCTGAAATACCACATGGATATAAGGTATGTACCTACCTTATGTATGTAAGACACGGAGTCCAAACGCAGTAGGTATTAACGTACGCGTGCATTATGTATAGGTATGGTTGCGGTGCGGTTGTGCAGCATTACATGTCTGAAAGTGGGCCACGTGGTCAGGATGTTCCCAAGATCAGGTACCTACATCTAGATGAGATTACCTAGCACATCCATTCATTTCCCTTAGTACCTAATATGAATTACATGGCGCCATGTCCATCTGCGAACCCGCTTAAGTAATTGTGGCGGTTAGTCTTCCTTACTCCTCCGGTAGGGTGACACCAAGCAGTTTAGAATTGCCGACATGTCAAAAAAGAAATGCCAGGGGTTCCCTAGGTACCTAGGTATGTACATAGTCCTAACGAGGGTTCCGAGTTCGTACTCGCTAGCAATAGCTAGAGAATGATAATAACCTAATCTACATACATAGTAGTAATTATTGATCAATCATAGCGGGACTCGAGTTGAGTGGGTCTCTGCTTATGTGCCGTTACTATTATCCTCTTTTTTCTCGGCCTTTTTGTCATCTCTTCTCGTGAGAATCTCGTCTACGATGCCCATGTCTTTCGCTTCTTGCGCCGTAAGGTACTTGTCGCGCTCCATCATATCCTCTACATCTTTAAGGCTGTACTTCTCGTGATCAAATGCCGCATTTAGATGCTTCCGGTAAATCTCGTTGACCTGTTCGCGCGTGCGTTGTATCTGATTCGCATAAATCAAAATGTCGCTTGCGGGACCCTGTGTCCCGCCTAAAGGTTGGTGGATCATAATACTGCTGTGCGGTAGGGCAAATCGTTTTCCCTTTTCGCCTCCCGCGAGCAGCAACGAGCCCATAGAAGCAGCTTGGCCAAGGCATACCGTCGATACCGGCGAACGGATGTAAGCCATAGTATCGTAGATAGATAACCCAGCCGTTACGGAGCCTCCAGGAGAGTGGATATACATGGTAATTGGCTTATCCGGATTGTCGGATTCTAACCAGAGTAGTTGAGCCACTACCGAAGCCGATACCATGTCGTCAATAGCCCCATTGAGGCATATTATTCGTTCCTAGCTTGTCAATTCAAAGTAATCAGACCATATACGGGAGGTATACATACCTGTAACAACTTAGAGAAGATATCGTCTATGAGATTCGATCAGCAAATCCGCCTTTGATAGTGACAAGTTCAAGGTCTACGAACATGTCCTCCAACCACCGGACTATTCTGTCAGCTATTGGGTCCCGTTGTGTATTTTCCATTAACTTGTCTTACAGTAACTTCTGTGATAAATGGCAAGGGAATAGCTCCATGAGGAGCTTGGATAGGATTCAGAGGGAGGAACTGTGAGAAGCGACGAGTACCACATCCTGCTGTCTTCGTCGCCGCCCGCCAAAGGAACCGCTGACAATTCATAATGTTCAGAAAAAACAACGGTAAAAACTCAGAGAAGAAAGATGTTCAAGAGTTGCTGTTAAAATAAACTTTGATGTTGGACCCAAGATTCTGGTTACTGGAAGCACGACTTCCGCGTAGGATTCGAGTTATTATTGGGAAGCTGTGATCGGTCAATTGGAGCTATGACGCTCCGCGATCTTGTGATTACATAAGTTGAGATAAGTTGATAGGTAAGATACATATATGTAGGTACCTGTTAAGTATTTTACCTACATGTATGTACCTACCTTAGGTACATATGTACTTCTCATCTCGGCTCGGTAACACCAATTAATTTCCCCTCAAGCTTCACTCTTAATTTAAAAGTCCTTCGTACATCATCTGTCATCTGTCTTCTGTCTTCTATAGCACGGCCAATGTTATGAGACTATGTAAAGCACTGCGGCAGAATAGTGCCAAATCTAGCCAATTCAGAATAATTGCCCCGCGTTTGAATTATCGGCATTTCGCAGATGATCGAGCTCAGCATGGCAATGGTCAACTTGCAAGCGATCGAGACGATGCCTTCAAAGTTCGCCCGGAAACCAAGACGGTGAAAACGGCTGTAGGCGAGCTGCCCCTATCTCCCATCATGGACCCTACATATTGGGAGGCTGTTAGGCGGCACCAGGTTCCTAAAGCAAAGCCTGGAAAACCCCTGAATTCAGTCGAGCGCCAACTTCGGGCTAATCCGTTCGGTACGGTCATTATACTAGCGAGTTTCCACCATTATCGTCAGCTACTAATGTCTATACGATATAGCCAAAGCTCTAGCGACAAAGCTACGAATGTGCTCGTTGACTCGCACGCGGCTACCCAGTTCTCTTCTACAAGACTTTACTCTCCTCGCCCACCCCGAAACCGGTGATCCATGGTTCGTTCCATATAGTCTTATACCCGACGAATCTCCCGCTGGTGACGAAGCGGGCGTACAGGGTATAGCAGAAGCCATGAATGAGGTAGAGCTCGAACATGCAGAAAGGGACAAGGATGTGGCTGCCACGACTACTGCCTCGACAAACAATAGCCAACTACAAGGTCCGACTGTTTATTGTTTAGCAAGACAGGATCTAATCTCCTCGATTGCCGTGAAGGGGACTGGTTTCGATCACGGCGCTAAGCGAATGGCAGGAGCTAGTCCGCGGTACAGGAGTCTAACGAACAAAGTTGTCTGGCGCCAAGACATGAATAACTGCATTCTAGACATGATGCGACAGCAGATCGTGAAGGACATCATGTACCTCTCTGGGCTTTGCGCCGAGGATAAGCGATACTATATCGTGAAGTGCCATGGTTGGGATGACGTGCAATACAAGCACAACGGCGCCATACTTTGGTTCGGGGAGCCAGATGAAGACGTGAAGGCGAGTCAGACTCACAGCCAACCCGGTCCGTTCGCCACATTCCGTGTTCAGAAAATAGATATTCAAGGAGAGACATATACCACAAGCGTCGCCGTGCACAATATACCTATGCTTCTAGGGAGCAAGCAAGCGAATCGTATCAAAAAAGAGGCTTCCAGTCTGAAAGACGGTTCCATCTTCATGCTTGCCGGGCGGCGAACAACGAATCTTCAGCTCAAACTTTGGAAGTTGCAGGGCTACCTGGCTGACTATACGAAGACAAACTAATCATATGCAATTAAATTAAAATTAGATCTGTCTTTGCACCAGCTCCGAGTGACTTCAGGGCTCTGGCTAAAATAAAAATTGATGCTGTTGTCATTGTTACGAGGCGCCAATCATATTGCACCCAAATGTCAATTTATAAATCTAGACCAACGTGTATCATATAACCAATAACTCTCTAGAATAAGATTATATCAACAGTGTACATCGATAATAACGTAACCTACTGAAGTAGGATAGATAAACTTAAGACTCATCTTTTTTGTCCCCCATTTATGACTCTGAGGCTCTATACTTAGAGACGACCAGCCAGGCGTCATCGTCATCTACGCTACTACAGAGAATATCACTTGATCGGAAGCATTAAAAACTGGAAATATTAAAATTCCATGAATACTTCATTTCATCTACGGATCAGCCGACCAGTATCTCTCGTAAGGGCATAAAATACATAAGCAATCCGTAATGCAACCACCAACTAGCAATATCTAAACCTGCTAGAAATTATCATGGCCCCACGACTGGGAGGCATGAGGAATTATCGAGAGAAAAATGCCTGAGACACGACGTTACCGGAAAAAGAAGCCCGAAACCATCCAACTCCGAAGAACTTTTTGCGATTCCTGTTCCTTTCCTGCCATTTAATGCATTTAGTCAACCTCCTCCATGGCGCTGTCGCCAGTCTCGGCGGCAACAGTGTCAGCAGTAGCTGGCACCTCCTCAACTTCGGGCTCCTCATCGAGGTTCAAGCCCAGGGACACCAGCTTGTGGATGCGTTCCGCAAAGCCGGCGGGCTCCTCAATGGTGAAGCCGGAGACGAGCAGGGAGGTCTCGAACAAAAGCTGGACAATGGACTTGACAGTCTTGTCGTTCTCGCCGTCAGCCTCAACCTTCTTCCTAAGCTCCTTGATGATGGGGGACTTGGGGGAGATTTCAAAGGTCTTCTTGGAGCTCATGTAGCTGCTCATAGAGGTATCGCGGAGAGCCTGGGCCTTCATGATACGCTCCATGTTGGCAGACCAGCCAAACTGGCCAGTTCGGATGGCACAAGGAGAGCCAACCAGCTTGTGAGATACAACGACCTTCTCAACCTTGTCGCCGAGGACGTTCTTCAACGACTTGGCAAGGCCCTCGAACTCCTTCTCTTCGGCCTCACGGGCCTTCTTCTCCTCCTCAGTCTCCTCAAGGTCGAAGTCCTTGGTAATATCAACGAGCTTCTTGCCCTCGAACTCTTTCAATTGAGTCATAGCATACTCGTCAATGGGGTCAACCAAGAAGAGAACCTCGAAGTTCTTCTCCTTAAGAGCATCCAGGAAGGGAGACTTGGAGACAGCCTTGATAGACTCGCCGGTGATGTAATAAATGTTCTTCTGGTGTTCAGCCATGCGGGTAACGTAGTCGGCCAGAGAAGTCTGCTCGTCGCCAGACTTGGTAGAGCTGAATCGCAGAAGCTTGGCAAGGATCTGTCGGTTCTGGGAGTCCTCGTGGATACCAAGCTTCAAGTTCTTAGAGAAAGCACTGTAGAACTTGTCGAACTGCTCCTTATCCTCGGCAATCTCGGTGAAGAGCTCGAGAGCCTTCTTGACAATGTTCTTCTTGATGACCTTCATGATCTTGTTCTGCTGTAGGGTCTCACGAGACAGGTTCAGAGGCAAATCCTCAGAGTCGACAACACCCTTGATGAAACTCAACCACTCAGGGATGATATCGGTGGCATCATCGGTGATGAAGACACGGCGGACATACAACTTGATGTTGTTCTTGGTCTTCTTGGTCTCGAAGAGGTCAAAGGGAGCACGCTTGGGTACGAACAAGATAGCTCGGAACTCGAGCTGGCCTTCGACTGAGAAGTGCTTGACAGCCAAGTGGTCCTCCCAGTCGTTGGACAGGGACTTGTAGAAGGCAGCATACTCCTCTTGGCTGATGTCCTGGGGGTTTCGGGTCCAGATAGGCTTCTGCTTGTTGAGCTCCTCCTCCTCGATGGAAGTCTCCTTGACCTTCTTGGTCTTCTTCTTCTTCTCCTTGTTCTCGTCCTCGTCGTCAACTTCTTCAATCTTGGGCTTCTTGTCATCGCCCTCTTCGACTTCCTCAGTCTCCTCGGCCTCCTCATCAGGAACCTCCTTCTCGGTCTCCTTCTTTACGTGAAGGTAGATAGGGTACGAGATGAACTCGGAGTGCTTCTTGATAACCTCCTTAATCTTGCTCTCGTTGAGGTACTCAGTCTGCTCATCCTTCAAGTGGAGGATCAGCTTGGAACCACGGCCAAGAGGCTCACCTTCAGTGTCAGGCTTGACGCTGAAGGTACCACCGGCAGACGACTCCCAGATGTACTGCTCATCATCGTTGTGCTTAGAGATGAAGGTGACCCGGTCGGCCACGAGGTATGCAGAGTAGAAACCGACACCGAATTGACCAATCATGGAAACATCAGCACCAGCGGTCAAGGCCTCCATGAATTGCTTAGTGCCTGATCGGGCAATAGTACCCAAGTTGTTGACAAGGTCCTAACTCTAATGTCAGTAAAGTGTGATTTAAAATCATACTAAACGTTAGGTGGATAACTTACGGCCTTCGTCATACCAATACCGGTATCACGGATGGTCAGGGTCTTGTTCTCCTTGTCGGGAATGATGTCGATACGGAGGTCCTTGTTTGACTCGAGCTTGCTCGGGTCTGATAGGGCCTCATATCGAATCTTGTCGAGAGCATCTGAGCAGTTGGAAACTAACTCTCGTAGGAAGATTTCCTTGTTGGAGTAGACTGTGTTGATGATGAGGGAGAGAAGCTGAGAAATCTCAGCCTGGAACTCGAAAGTCTCCGACATCTTGACTGAGGGGTTGGTAGAAGTATGGAGTCTAAAGTCTAGAGCAAATGGGCGGTTAGCTTAGCTTAGAAAAACGGGGATATTGGTAAGGGTTGGATACGGGAGTAAGAGGGGGTATGATGGCGGGGTGAAGAAGAAATTTGCAGAAGGCGTCAAAGCATTCAACGAGAGTATGTCAACGGAAATTGAACAAATCCCCAGGAGCTTGCGGTCTTGTATTGCTATTTATCCTTACTAGAAAGTTGAAACGACTGGAAGTAAAGAAGCGAATTTGTTGTAGAATTGGGCGAGAGGCAAAAGACAAGGCTGATAAGGTGGGGGAATATCTGGAGTGCGGTGGGGTTAAACTTACCAGAAGATGATGGTATAGTGAGGGCGGTTTGGGGGTATCACAAGAGAAATTCTATGTTCTCTTCTTGTCACTAGAGAAGATGTAAGAAGAATGTATTGATCTGAGGAAGAAAAAAAGATGAGAAAGTGAGGAGGGAAAGGGAAGAAGTATTATTCACGAAACCGCAGCCCGCAGCTAGAAATGTTCTTCACAGCTCTTTCCTTTCGGTGCACGGCCCCACCATGGTTTCTATTGAATTCTATGGCAATTTTGGTGCTAACCAACGGCGCTGAGCTCTCTGATTGGCTAATAATTGCTCCAGGGCAACCACTGTGGACCATTGATTGGACGAATGCATCCAGGGCACTGACATATCTCGAGCCTTCCATCTCTTTGCGGCCGGTGCCTGCAGTTTCTCCAAACTTCTGGAACGTTAGAGGCGGGGAGAAGTCAAACGGGGATAATTAGGTAGCCTAGTAAATCTGCCATACTGCGCCGTAGCTGCCTAGGTATGTACCTCCTAAGATGTAGGTACCTGTACATCGTATTTCTAGGTTGATAATACAGATACACAATGCCCTTTGTACCTAGGTATGCGCCTACGAGATACATTTAGAAGCTACCTCTGCCACAAATAAATTAGTATGTATTTTGATATTGTGGGAGTACTCTAATAGTTGCAATTGGCATATTCTGTATTATCCACACATAGTTACACAACTAAATCTGGTAGAAGATCGTAGAGGCAATCAGACATTCCACACAACCCCACTTACCTGATAAGGTACATACCTTATGTAGTAAGGCTAACCCCCAGACTTAGGTAGGTTCGGGAAATCATCGGTAGGTATACTCCACTGAGGCTGAAGCTGAGGCTCATTTTACCGTTTGGCATACCTAAAGGTTCCAGTACCTAGGTACCTAATAGATGAAATTTCTAGAAATATATATAAAGCTTACATACCTCCCATATCTTCAATCTGATTATGATAATTAAAATATGAACCATTAAAATCGACAGTCGATAGTGAGAATATAGTTGTAGAACCGGAAGGGATACATACATACATATCTTACATATCTTACAGAGTATCATCGATAATAATTATCAACAGGATGGGTAGGTACCTAGATAGGATTGCTGATTGTTGTAACGAGTCCACATTAATCATTAATATATATATATATATATGTTTGGCTAACTACCTACACAGGAAATGACACAAGCAGCCCCCTTGAGTACACAATACAAGATTGTTACATTACAAGATAAGGAACGCTTAGGTTGGATATATGTTATTATGGGCCATACCTAACTACCTAAGGTAGAATCGCGTTGAATTCCAAACGAACGGGGCAAAAATTCGAACTGCTTGGTTAAACAGTAACTTGGGTGTCGGTTGCCCACTCTTCTTCCAGATGACACCATCCCGAAACCTCTCTCAAGCTCTTTACTCCATCATAAACCCCAGTTATCATACGGCTTCATAAGCCCATTGTTCTTCACGCCTTCGGGAAAATCCTCCTCGCCAAGGTGCGTGGTATGAGCCCAAGGCTTAAGCCCATTCTCCTCTCTAATCGTCTTCGAGAAGCAGCCGCTCCAGCCCTTGCGCGGGTACGCCTTATTGACATCGTTCCTGGTGACAGCGTCGATAATCTGCGGGTTGATGCCCATGTTGTCGTAGATGGTCGCGAGCTGGATGAGCTGTCCTAGGAACGTGATCTTGCCGACGGTACCTAGGTCCTGGTGCCGGATGATTGCCTCTGCTACGGCCTCAGCCTGGGCCGATGGTGCACCGAGTTCCTTAGTTAGATTCAGGGCTAGGATTCCTCCGTAAAATTCGAATGACAGAAGTGTTGCTCGTAAGTTCTCGTGCACAGTGCCAATGTCATGGAGGAGGCACGTCAGCGCCCACGTGGACAAGGAGAGTTTGCTAAATTCTTCGGGAAATTGGTCCTTGAGGATGGAATATCCTGACCGCTTGGTTAGCTTGAACTCAAAGGGGCATTTCGTATGTGATTGTTAATTAGTGCCCCCTCACCCCAGTGGTAAACCCGCATTGAATGATTGTACGTTTCTTCGATAAGATGCTTTTTGGCATATTCTTGAATCCCAGCGACGATAGCATCGTTGGAGGGAAACGGGATATCCTTTACCGTCAGGGGCGAAGGTTTATGTAGATAGGGTTTCCCATTGAGGATAGCATTGCCGTCGACTGGAAAGGCGCTCCAGCCATGTTTGGCAATATCATCTGCTGTTGCTGCTGGTGTGGAAGACATGATCTCCAGTGTTGAATGGCTCCTAAAGCTATACCTTGCTACACTACGTCTAATATCACATTGATGAATGAGCTTTCATTCCTTTTATATATGATTTATAGCACCGATGACGGAGTTTAAATATAATTATTCTTATAAATATTATTTGTCAGATTTTAGTACGAGATAACTTTGTCGAATTATGTCTCTCATTCGGGCTTTGGTCATGTATAATTGAGTTAGTATCGGTTATCATGACTGTAATTCCGCGGGATTATAATCCTCTAATAGTCTTATACATAGGCCTCCCACATCCTCAGCTTCACCATACGTCTAGTACAATTGAAGATTTGCTAGGCCGTGATATGAAGCTATGAGTACACAGTTACCAAAATTGCTGCTACGACATCTCCGGTGACTATTGGCTCCTGGTCGCGATGTTATTCGCGAATAGATCTAGCATTTGGATTTAATGCCAATCTCTCGAATTGACAGTGCCTGCAACAACTCTCTTTACAGGAGGAGAGTATAGCATGCTCCAACTTCGCTGATATCCCGGGGTATTCGTCGGAGAAGGTAGCCGTAACCGGTTGAAGTCGATGTTTGCGACAGGATATCGCTGCTAAGCGAGCAGTACCACATCAGATTCCCTGGTATGTATTTGGGCTGGCTCTTTCTGCCCAGTTTGTCGCGATCAAAATCTACGGTAACGATTAATAATTATGTCGGGATCTCGTGGGAGGAATTGACGTAAGTCTTACCGGATTTCGTATGACCCTGCTCTCGTCATGTATCTAACCCATTTTACACTTGAATAGTTACTCTTTTCAAACACCTTCAAGTACCGTACAAGGAGACCCGAGCTAGTAAACATGAGAAGGCTGAAGTTCATGCTGAGAGGCGGGCGCGACCAGGCCTTCTGGTTTGTCATGCTCGTGAGCTCCGCCTCGGCACTTAACACGAATTCGCTTTGGCCAGTGAAGCGGCCAATTTTCCAGACGATATTGTTTTCGCTTGGTTCGTACTTGGCCTTTCCTTGGGTGCAGCGTTCCGTAATACGAGCTGTGTTCAACGGAGTGGGGATACGAACAACGACGTTGGTAGCGAACAATTTGCTACCAAAATTCGCCTTGACGCCAATACTATACTCTACTTTGGTCTTGCCAACTTCATTAACGATGGCGTGCACCTTGAAGGGTAGGTTGACGTTCTCCGTTGCTCGATACCGCATAAGCTCGAACTCCCCGTCGGGAGGGATGAAGGAGATAATTCGGTCCGTGTCGAATTTGCCTAGCTTGACGCATTGATGGAATTGGCAGTCCTCTAAGGTAACACTGCCGGCAGCTGCTTTTGTAGCCTTGGTCCCGAGCTTATTGCCACTCGGTAACGACTGGAGGCCGTCGTGGTCCAACAGAAGGCGGTCGTTGAGCCCGAACTTGCATTCCGGGGTGCCCGAGAGATACGCGCGCATGATAATCTGACCGGTGACATCAGCACGAAGAACGGTCCCCGTGGCTGACATCAGAAGGTTGACGTCCTCTATCACGTCGACAAACGCTTCATTCTTTCTATATTTGACATCGGCCTTCCTCCAGGACAGGGCACCGGTAGCTTGCATGGTTATCTTGGCGGAATCTTCAGGTGCGCGTTCGGACTTGACACCTTCGGTGGTAATGTACATCTTTAGGGTGTCCGTCTCGGTGTTCTGAGGGTATCCAAAATCGATGATCTCTGAAACAATATATTCATTAGATGACACCTACGAAATAGTATAGGGCGGGTTCATCAGAAACTCACCGTCTAATAGTTCATAGACCAGCACGAAATTATTCTTGACGGCCTCCTCGTCGAACTTGCCGAAGTAACCCCTACCAAGCTGGATCAGCCGGTATAGGAACTCGAACACCAGGGCAGCATTGGCATTGCTCTTAGTAATGGCAACCAAGTAGATGTTTTCATGCTTAACATGGCTGAAGGTGGTGCTTCCGAGGGTGAGGATAGGCGAGCGGACCTGAGGGTTGGATATGACCTGAATTCGAAAGACATCGGCGAGACGTGGTCGGCAGTCGTTTCGAAACGCTCGGAAGATGAGGTTCTCGCCTTTTTGATTGAATATTAGGATGCCGGAAAGCATCTTGCCGACCTCGCGACTCAACCCTCGCCAAAAGGAAAAGGAGGGTATGACGAGAGTCTTTGGCTATCCAAACTAATTAATTAAGTTGGAATGCGGATGCTAGAATACGGTGACGCCGCGACGGGCGATTGAAGCAATTAAATTACCTAAGGTCCATGGTACCTACCTACCTCCTAGGTTAGGTACAGTACCTACCTAAGATTAGCCACATTTAGGTACGATAAGATAGAAATGATAAGGGGTACCTATGGGCTCAGCCACGGTGCAATATTTCAGCGGGGGCTAGGCACATGACTCCACTATGTCTTAGGCAATTTATTACATCATACCTAGGTTATAGCATTCCCGAGTCTTATCAGTGGTAGTCCCGACAAAGCTATCACTTTACATAGGTAGTTTCCCACTGAAGATACAACGTAGTGTTATAGGTAAGTTTCCTAGTAGCGATTCTTAAGTCTTCAACCTACCTAGGTAAGCATTCTAGATTAATCATATATAAGGCTGTTTGTTCTTAAACCAAGGCCCTTTCTAGGTTAGATAAATTACTCGCCATTAGGATTTCGTCTGCGACGTACAATCACCTAATGCTTGAATCCTTACTTCCGCTTGATAACCGCAACCTGGCTCCTCACGGGCACATTTTCCTCCCGGCTCGGAGTTGGGAACCCGTCCACCGGAACCCCGGCACGGAACAGCAGGCAGTGCGACGAGCCGCCGAAATGGAACATACCGATCTGGTCGCCCTTCTGTACATGCTGCCCTTGGCCCACCGTGATCTCGCACGTGCTGACCTCGTCCATACCCACGCCTACAAACGCCATCAGTCCGATTGCTGGATTGTCCGCTTGGATGAATATGACAGCGCGCGTCGCCAACGCTGTCAGGTATCCCTGCGCCACGCTGATGCCGCGCGTGTCGATTTCTCCAGGGCGTTGTGCGCTGTGTTCGCCCTCGGCATAACCACCCGCGGGGCCTTCGAACAGCGGTTCGCTGAAGTAAGTTCCATCCTTCACGAAAGAGCGTACGATACGGCCTGAGACGGGGGAGTGCCAACGGTGGTACGACAATGCTGATAGGAAGGCCTGGTACACTGTTGCACCGTCGAACTGTGCGGCTAGAGGATCGTGGCCTAGCATGTCGAGAACCGAGTATGGCTGGCTCTTAATCCAGAAGCGGTCGCGCAGCTTGGCGTGTCGCGCTACGTTGTACACTTTAGACTCGCATGCGTTAGCTACTACGTCGTCGTTATCCGGTGAGGCTACGGGTCGTGCATCTTCGCGCAGCTGTCGCGTGAAGAAGTCTGGCGATATGTCAATCTCAATTTTGAAGGAATGTCACGGGCGGGATAACTGATTCCTGTCAGATATACTTACCGTCCCAAGAAGTGTAGCCGTGGTGTTTAGCTGACGGGTCGCAGATATACATATCCTCGAACCTATGCGACGTCTTTAGCGGTGCGTTAGCTACCTCCATCAAGTCTTTGAGGCCGTGCTCGGAGAACCAGCCCTGTTTATGAGAGGCGAGCACTTCAGCTGATTTTGGTGTCTAGTTGCGATAATCACTGTTAGGATAGGCTTCTTCCCATTTACCAAGACTCGGAGGCTTACCTTTAAGAACTTGCCCCATTCATTCAGGATCTTCTTCATCATCTTATTGACCTCCGGATCTAAGAAGGCGGCATGGCCACTATATTACTGTGTTAGCCAATGTCATATTTACACACCCGAGTCCGGCAGGGGCGCTCACCTAGGTGTAGCCATCACGTAGTCAAAGATACCCACCATGGGGACTCCGACCATGCCAACGCCGAATGCAGCATCAGTCCACTGAGGAGCTTGCGTGAAGATGTGGTTGAGCACGGCCAGCATGTGCCGGTAGTCTCGGATCTGCTTCTTGGTACCAGTTGGGTCTTTGTTATACGGCTTCTTGAACGGTATCTCATCCCACATTTGGTTAAAGTACATGTAGATGCGTGAGTTTCCCTCGATAAGCTTCTTGAAATCCTGAAGAACGGGAATTAGCTCTTTTTGAGGAGCTTTGTCGACGTGTTCGATTTGCGTCTTGAGCCATTCGTGTTGGACACGATGGTCCGCTGGAAGCCAGGCGCCATGGCTGTGAAGGAAAATTATTAACAAAATTTCTAGATTTTATTGTTAATGTCTGAGGTCATCGCTAGTGAACTTACTTCTGAGTACGATGTTCCTGAGGAATATCGTGTTCGTCGCCGTGTTGGTGAACCATTTTGAATTATTATTATATTATTATATTAAAACACGATGCCAAGTCCTTAACTAAGCATTCGATGTGGATAAGCAGTTTCCATCTAGAACTGTTACCTTAATTGCCAAGAGTCATGGTCTTCCATGGTCTCATATACCATACAGATGCGGGGTACAGATTACAGAAAGACTACTATGTGGTGAGGTTGAAGACTTGATCATGATGTAATGATTCGACGTGGACTGCAGGGCGATCAGTAAGGCCCCCCCCCCCCCAATGAGGAGAGAATTGGGTTCCATCCAAGCTAAAGTGGAATTAGCTCCAGATTAAACGTTTAGGCTTCCAAATTGTAGGTAATCAAGATGTCACTTAATGCTTTGTTCGGTGGAATGTGGAATGTGGAATAGTTGATAGGTTTTTGTAAGAAAACCGACTAGTTTCTGAAATTGATGATGTAGTCTTCTGTGCCTGACCAAGACTACAGCCTTAAAAATATAGCATGAATAGGTCATACTTCGTATTGGCATTCACTTTTTAATTACGACCTACAATTATCGCGAAGGTCGGATCGTTGACATTATTAAACCAACTACTCAGCTTAAAACTTCCTCAACCATCAAGTACCTAAGTTAAATAGAAAAGTAAAAAGTGAAATTGGTCTTATACTTCGTTTCACCAACAGAATGAAATAGTTCATAGCTTAAGCCCAAATTATAAACTCTCATTGAGGAGCGGAGCGTTCCTTTCATTACTTCCAAGGAGGTAGTTAAAAGAGTGCTAGGACGTATTTCAATCCGAGTAAACCTAGTATGTATGGCCACACGTTAAACGTACGTGTCAACCATTTTCGTACATACTCTGACTGACAAATGCCTTGATAAAATTAGAATCTCGGTAACCTGATAGGACTTCGGGGGAAGCCGTTACTCTATTTCAACCCGTGTTAAGCTCAGGAAAGAAAGTTACGAAATATGCATAGCTCGGACAAGCAAGCATTGCTTTTTTCGGGGAGAAGTAGTCCTAAACCATTCCAAAACACCGCCTTTGCCACCGTGGATTCGGTAAGCGACTTCAGGTTATCAAATATGGGTGGTCATCTTAGGAGGTCAACAAAAGCAGCGTTGAAATATATATTTTTCACAAGCTCGTGTTTGCAATAACTTCACAAAACAGGCCGTTCCCAGTCCATGTTCTCAAGCCACTGCATAAAGTCATTATCAGGCCCTAAGAAAGGAGCGTCGATACCAAAGTTCAGATCCGTCATAGTAAAATCAGTTGCACATGGCATATGGAAGCCGTAGCTTTGAGCCGGCTCGTTCGCCGGAGTGCCCACAACTATCTCGTTAATTTGCTGGTCTTGATCTTGATGAACAGGTGGTTCGCCTGGAACTTGACGTTGGACGGGAGGGTCAGGAGGGCTTAGAATCCTGTCAAGTATATGAGATATGACCTTTCGTCCCTGGTCGCATATACCAAAGGATCCGTCACTAGGATCGACAGCCCCCAGTCCAGCTGCGAAAACGGCCAGATCTTGGATGGTCTGACTTCTAGGGAGAAGAGGGGTTTTCGGATAGACGGGGAGTTGCTCTTGTTTCAATAGCTCGACCGCCATGACGGCGGCGCTCCGCATACCTTGTACTGCGAGAAGAGAAGCAATATCTGTTTTAAATAGCGTCCCTAAGTCATGGCGTTGACTGATTAACAATATATCCTTTAGGATTGAGCGCGCAAGGCATATGAGCTCCTCTGAACTTGCCCCAGCTTTACGAATCAAGACGCGCTGGAGCAAAAGGTCGTTTGAACGGAAGGATTGGTGGATTACAATCATGAATAATATTTCCGTCGGTGGTCTCCCTTCTATCTCTATAGGCGAGTCTCTTATTTTCTTGATGAACTCTGGGAGTTCCTCTATGTATCGACGATGTCTATTTTTGATATCTTCCGCGCGTTGTAGGATCTCGTCGCATGTATACGGACCTAAGGCCAGGTCCAGTATGTCTTCTCTTTGTATAGCGAATCCAATCCAGATTCTTATCCAAGTAACTCGACGTACTCTCCCTGATGTGTTGAATCCTTTCTCATCTAGACTGGCAAGTGCCAGAGTTAAGTCGTCTCCTTCGAGGAGTAGCTGAGAGACCGCAAGGTCCAAGGGAGGCTGTAGATTACAATAACGATGTGAAATCCGTGGAGGGCGACCCGTAAAAGTCGAGATACCGATCTCCGCACCGTACATCTGGCAAAGTAGCCTTTTTCGTAGTTCTGCTAAAAAGAATGGAAGCCGATCCTCTTCTTTGACTCCCCGGTGCAAGCCCATCGCAACGGCAGAAGCTACAATCTCACCACTCAGGGTGTATGTAGTATGACTAGCTTCGCCTTTAATCTTAGCTGTTAGAGAGTAATTCTCCATGAGAAGCCAGGTGAACATGTCACCCAAAGCTCCACAATCGCGGCAAAAGTTTAAACACGCTTCGGCAATCTCGTTCATCTGTCTCGCAAATGAGGAATGCGCCGAGTTATGTTTCTTGGAACCGCGACCGAAAGGCTCGGGAGTGTTCGCAGACTGGCCGGCGACTACGGCGATGAGGCCGATGACCTCCCATCGTATGCTTGGTCCAGTCGCAGATCGCGCCCACTTCAATGCGTAGAGTTAGCAACAGAATCTCTGATTCGTGGAGATTATATGTTTAAATCGAGTAAATATACATGAATCCAAAGTTTCAAATAGGGGCGAGTAAATCATCACTTTGATTACTTACATGCTTAGCCGTCATGTTCTGGTTAAAGATGACTGGAGTTTGGGTATTACGCCAGATTAATTCACATAATCGCCGAATCTTCTCGGGGTTTTGATCTCTAAGCTTTGCTCATAGAATTAGTTTCCTGCACTGCTCCTGAGGTAAT